AGGTCATTGTGTTTGACGAGAAATCAAAATAAATTTCACCTTTGAATTATTTTAAAAAGATTTGGGAAAGAGTGAGAAATATTACAATAATTTCTGACACTTTATTAAGAGTAAATATAGTAATTAAAATATTTTTCAGATAAGGAAAATTCGTTACACATACGTAACTATATACAATAAGTGATGACAAGTTGAGAATTAAAAATATATGACTCTAATATACAGGGTGTATATATAACAGAAAGATGATATATTATATTGTAAATATTTAAAAAGTACAAGTCCCAATTATTAACATATTAATATTGGTTTAGATATCAATTTATTTATCAATTTAGGGTGAATAGGCATACTAATATGCAATACAAAGTAGGTTAGTTTATAAGTCAGATTTATGTAAAGCTATCACTAAAATTGTCTGCAATAAGCAGCTATATATGTATTTATAGGTTAAGGTGCATTTGAATTACGCGTAAAAAGTACTAATGCGAACTAAAGTCTGCTTACGGGAGTGCGACCGTTCGGGAAGCAATAACAGTGCGATTTGTGACACTGGAGAGACTCATTACGGTGGAGAGACTCATGTTTCACTGTTTGATGTACAGCCACACGTCCATAGTCGATGGAGGACTAGACAGCTACATCAAGAAGATAGGAGCAGAAGAATGCTGAAATATACACCGCTACCGATCGATACAACTCTACGAGAAGACGACAACGAAATCCACCTACGAGAAGGAGTAACATGCTCATTCATCAACGGCTGTTGCTTGGACTCTACAATAGGCGAAATAACTTGGAAAAACAATACAAAGACAACAGTTGTGAAAGTCAATTGTCACAACTTTACAGAGGGCACGTTGAAAGATCACTAATAAACAATCACTAGAAGAATTGGTACTAGTAGAACAAGATAAAAACATATTGGCTCTAACGTTACACAAAAGGGCTATAATATGTAACACAGAAGTATGGCAAACAGAACACCCCCGAATCCTAATAAATTTCCTAGTAAACAACAAAATAAATCCTAGTATGCCACTCCTACCTCAAAACGTAGACCTAATGACCTACATCAATAGCAAATTCCTTTACACCGAACAATCCTACCAAAGAGAAATAGAAAAGCTATACTTAGACACAGTACGGCGACGATGCCAAACAAAGAGAGAAATTTAAAAAAAAAAAAAAAAAAAAAAAAAAAACAGATTACTAATGGCCCCATCCTTACCTAACGCCGTCAGTCAACTCATGCAGAACAGGCCAGGGTACACATGCAGCAAACACATACCAGATACCAATGTAGCAGAAGTATAATGCGACAAAGCAAAGCAGTAGCAACCTGAGACGACCACCCAGCAAGGACAGACCAATGGAGGCAGACAGCAGCAGTTACGCATCAATATAGTTAACTCGACACGTGGAATTGGCAAACGGACATTAAAACAGCCAAGACGTCGCGAGTGAAGTGCGGACAATTCCCTCAGGGATACGCGATAAAGTGAACGCAAAACGCGAGTACAATCGTATAGAACAATTAGAATACGCTTGTCGTAATGGACACATGTAATCACGAACAATTGTAATAAGTTAGGAAAGTTCTTTCACTTGTTAAGTTTCAATAAGATTAATACAAGATTAACTCAACTTGTCATACACATAGGTTCAATACGGGGGCAGCACGATACATTCGCTGACCACGGTACAATAGTCTATAAGAAACAGTAAATGATAAAATATAAATTGGGACTTATATAAAAATATATATAGTAGATTATAAGTAATATAATATGTAAATAGATAAATTTATTGTTGGAAAAGGAAAAGGCCCCTCGGCCCTTTTCTTTTTTTGCGTAGGGAGTAATGTAATGTAAGCGTAGCAAGTGAGTGAGAAGTTGGAATAAAGGGATAATGGAACAATAAGTAGCATAGAAAAGATAATAATTATTCGAGATAATTATTATATATTCCAAATTAAATAAGGGATAATTAATACAGTTAACTTATACATTTAAATTATACAAAGTATAACAATTGACCTAGTTATGGCATTGTTTGATAATTGTTTAAACGTATAAAAAGCACGAAACTATTAACAACAACAGCCGTGACCCAAATAGACGCATAACGCCAAAACTGCAACTCAGCGAACCTACGACCTTGGTACTAGAACCGGCGTTGAAAGTACGACGACAATAAAACAAGAAGAAACGACGGACGCCGGGCAGTTAGTAATGGGTAGTCGGTAGTCAGTAGTCAGTCAATCAGTAGTGATAACGGGGGCGCCGTAACGGCCCGCCCAGGGCAGTGATCGCCGGACGCGATAGCGTCCAGTACGCGAGACAGTCGGTGATTTTCCGGGGGCCGGGTATCTTCTGTCTGAATTCGCGTGTAGTCCGGTTATTGTGGCAGCTCGAAAGTTCGCAACCCTCAACTGACCGAGTTCCAGAAGACTGAACGTGTCGTGGTTGAAGCCCTAATATACACATAAGGTAACAGATTTCTTATACTAACCTGTGTAATTATATTAGTACCTCTGTCAACTTTTCACTATCTTGCTACATCGTCTCCCGACGCGCAGAATAACGTGTTAACGATTGTATTAGGAACTTCAGGGTAGATTCAATATATTGTTGACTCTAATATGGTTTTTTTTAATGTTCCTTCGTCCGACTCACTAGAGACTAGGAGAACACGAGAATTCTGCGTATACATATCTCCGGCTTCAAAAGTAAGCCCATAACCTCTACTCTTTACAGGACCTGAGACCGAGGAGTTCTTACCCCTATCCCGAAATCCCTTATCTTCTCGTAAATCCACGAAGACGAGCCAGCCCTCCAGACCAGTGTGACCAGTATTCCTTGCAGCCGCTCGCAGGGTTAGCATCCCTTGAGGATCTATTGTATTTTACATTTGGTGACAGTCTTTACAGGACCCTATACATAGAAGTCCTTAATCCCTCTCCACTTCTCGTAAATCTGTAGTAGATTATTACAATAGAATGAAAGATCAGTACGATTCTCGATGCAAGAATGAAAGCTATGAAGTAGGTGATTTTGTTTGGCTTTATAATCCACAACGTCGTCGTGGCTTGTCTCCTAAACTGCAAAGACAATGGGAGGGTGCGTATAAAATTAAAAAGAGAATAAATTACGTAATATACCGAATTAAGAAGTTGCCGAAAGGTAAACCAAAAGTAGTTTACATAAATCGTCTTGCACCTTATGCTGGCTCAAATGAAACCGAAAAAGTCCGAACCCTTCAACATGAGATCAAAGATGATCGGCGACCAAGCTTTAATGAATTTATGTCAAATTACGCAGAGAGAAAGAGTGCTAGATTCGGCGTGACAACAGAAGTTCAGCAGGATCTTTTTAGTGTTCCGCATAACGTCTCTCTAGCCCACTGTGTTGCCCAAGATCTTGAGATGACTAAAGGAATCTCATCCGTATTTTATAAGAAATTTGGTCGCTTGGACGAGTTAAAAAACCAGCAGCCTAAAGTTGGAAGGGTGCTGAGATTAGAAGATGGTTCTCGATCTTTGCTGTATATGGTGACCAGGAAGTCGTATACAGACAGGACAACCTACGAGGATATATGGTGTGCTCTAACTAATTTGAAGAAAATCGTCTGAAATTACGACATTAAGAACTTGGCTTTACCCAAGATAGGCCATGCACTAGATAATCTGGATTGGAAGATTGTCAGAAGCATGATTGAAGTGATCTTCCGAGAAACCGGTGTAAAAATTACTGTGTGTTGCATTAATCCGAAAAGATCGTGTCCATCAAAGACACTAGACTCTTATTTCTTTCTGAGGGGTTCATGCAGAGCTGAAGAGTCATGTAGATTCCGCCATCCTGGGCCTATAGATAGAGTTCCTGATCGGGACGCTCAGATCTAAGAGGGAAGCAGTGTTACGAACATGCATTCAGCGTGGACTACCTAACGGTCGCATCTCGAAGCACCGAGAGTTTCGGCGATATATCGAGCGCTGTAAAATTCCACCCGTCAAATAACGAATTAGAGGTGGGACTACTCTCGAATATTCTCGAACATAATACTTTGTTATATATATATATATATATATATATATATATATATATATATATATATATATATATATATATATATATATATATATATATATATATATATATATATATGTAACGAAATTAGGAGTTAGTTTAGTTGATAAGATAGTACCAAACTGTAAAGTTATAAATAAATATATTTATATAAATTTGAACCGCTCGTTTTATTTAATCTCGCTACAGTATGTTTTTGTGTATTTTTATGTTAAATATTTTTATGTACTTATAGATTTTACTGTTTATCGATTATATTTTGACGCATTTAAATACTTGTAAAAGTCAGATGAAACAAAGAATATTCATTGATTTATTGATTACAAAAACTATCAAACTCAAAATACAAACATTAATGTTTCTATTTTGGAAACGATTTCCAAAGTGGAAACTGAAACGTCAATAGATTTATTAAAACTTTAATTATGACTTATTCCCAATCTTCTTCTTCTTCTTCTTCTTTAGCCTGTGTTCGTCCACTGCTGGACATAGGCCTCTTCCATTTGCTTCAATCGATTTCTACTTTTGGCAATTCTCAGCCACTGCTTGCCCGCGACTTGTTTGATATCGTCTGTCCACCTCTTCTGCGGTCTGCCTACTCCTCGCCTGTTCTCTCTTGGTCTCCAGTTTGTTAATCTTTGTATCCATTTTTCGGGATTATCTCGGGCAACGTGTCCGACCCATTGCCACTTGAGCCTTGCAATACGTTCTGAGACATCAGTAATTCTTGTTCTTTCACGAAAGAAAAAGAACAAAGTTTCTTTGGTGAAAGAACAAAGAACAAGAATTATTTCCAATGAAAATAGTAATTACTTTAAGATGCCACAAGAAAATAGCTTTAGAACAAAATCAGCAGATAAAAAAGTAAGAATGATAATAATGGCATAGTTAACATTCTCATATAATACTTACTTTGTTTGGTTTGATGTTCTTCACTATACAAATAGCTTCAATGACATAAACAACACCAGCTGGTGGTCTTTTCATCGATCTTACTTCAATAATGTCATTTTTATTTAAGGCTTTTAAACTGGCTTCAGCAGCTAACAAAGCAGGCAACGCTTCATCTGAAATAATATCGACACCATTAGTTAATATTTAATAAATCTTTATATCATATAATAAATCAAACGGACTTCAGCTGGTAACTCTTAACAGTTACCAGCTGAGGTCTGTTTGAAGAGGTTTACTCTCCGGACGCTGGTACTCACGTAAGGCATGGGTGTATATTACCTAAAGTAAAATCTAATCAAATATTAAACATCATTAATTTTTTAACAACAATATGTACAATCTTTGGTAATTTTATGTACTTTAGAGAGTTTTTACCCTAATATGTTGGTGGCTCAGGCTTTAACCTGATGATGGAATTATTATTTCGAAAACGTTTGTTATTTTGATGTAGCCCTTTTAAGGGTTTTTTGAACATACCTATTAAACCTCTTTAAATCAATAAATTTTTCTGTTTTCAACACAGAGTTCTTGCGTTCTCGGTCTCTTTGTAAACAGAACGCCAGACCGCAAACGTTTTGACCGCTGGCAGTGTGTGTTGTTAGAGTAGGACGTAAGTACTATAAAGAAGCCAGAACTCTGAACGCAGAACTCAGAATGCCTGACCACTGTTTGCGTGCGCGGGCTAACGATCATTCGGAACATTTTTAATTTTTTTGATGGGACCTCCTTGCAAAGAGGGTAGCTTAAAAAGTATATGTTGAAAGGTTTTGGTGTTAAAAGTAAATACCCAAAGAGGTCTTGGACATCCAGTGCTCAAACGGCTTAGAATACGTAAGTATATGAATGCTTGGTAAAAAAGCGATCAAAAGAGGTACAACGATCTTGAAAAATCTGTTCTATACCTGTTCAAATCTGATCGGGACCAGTTTTAGGCCTGTTCGAGACCTGTTCTACACCTGTTCTATGTTATTATACCTCTCGACTTCCCTGCTTTTCAACAAGCCGTCGTATATTTACATATCTTATTGGTTCGCTATTTGGACGCTATAAGGCTTCTTTAGTTATCCAAGATGAGCCACTTACTTAAAACGTTCTTGAAAGTGATACACGGCAGAATATATAAAAAATGCGAAGAACAAGTATCATGGACGCAGTTTGGATTTCGTTATTCCTTAGGCACCCGAGAGGCTCTATTCGCTGTCCTAGTGCTTATGCAAAGATGCAGAGATGTTAACTGCGATGTGTATATTTGTTTTATCGACTACAAAAAGGCATTTGATAGAGTAAAACATGATAAACTTATAAACATCTTGAAAGAAGTGGGGTTAGATGATAGGGACTTGAGAATCATCTATAATTTATATTACAACCAAACAGCCAATATTAAAGTGGATGATCAATTGACAGAGGCAGTCTCCATAGATAGAGAAGTGAGGCAAGGATGCATTCTGTCCCCGGTGTTATTTAATATATACTCTGAATATATCTTCGAGCAAGCGCTGGGAGAACTACAAGAAGGCGTATTAGTTAACGGAATGCGTCTAACCAACATTAGATATGCCGACGACGCAGTAGTTTTTGCAGATACTCTGGATGGTTTGCAAAGAATAATGTCGCATGTATCACATATAAGTAGAGAACACGGACTTGATCTTAATACGAAGAAAACAAAGTACATGGTAGTCAGTAAGCGCGAAATATTAAATACACAGCTTTTGGTTAACCAACATCCAATTGACGGAGTGGACGGCTACACATACCTTGGTACCAACATTAACAGCCAATGGGATCACTCCAGTGAAATAAAACAACGCATAGGAAAAGCGAGATCAGCATTCATAATGATAAAGTCTCTTTTCAGAAGTCATGATTTACCACTTGCTACCAAAATCTCTCTCATTAGATGCTATGAATTTTCTACCTTATTATACGGAGTAGAGGCCTGGACACTTTCCGAAGCTTCCTTAAGATAACTCAAGGCATTCGAGATGTGGTGTTACAGACGTATCTTAAGAATTTTATGGGTGGATCGTGTGACTAATGTTGAGGTCCTACGTAGAATAGGCAAGGAATGCGAGATTATTAATACCATAAAAGAGCGCAAACTAGAATATCTTGGCCATGTTATGAGGAATGAACAGAGATACGACTTGTTGCAACTCATTCTTCAGGGCAAGGTATTTGGAAAGAGAGGACCAGGGAGAAGAAGAATATCTTGGCTTCAAAACCTGAGAAAGTGGTTTAATACATCGACAACCGGACTATTCAGAATAGCAGCAAGCAAAGTTAGGATAGCCATGTTGATCGCCAACATCCGGAACGGATAGGCACCGTAAGAAGAAGAAGAAGTTATCCAATTATAACTCTCAGCCTTTCAATATATATTTCTTCGTCCAACTTTTTCTGACAATTTCTCATATACACCACGATCAGACTAGTCGTTGTACCACCACTTCAAAAAATACAAAAATTACCAGAAAAAATCTTTTTTGACGTTTTCCCAAGAGAAATATCCTATGGCGCATCCACCAAATTTCATGAATGAAAGGCTATAGAATTCTTGTAAAATACTGCCCACTAAAAGGAACTATCAGCTACCTCACAAGTTAAACTGACACAGACTGTCACAGATGCCGGGGACTAAACTTTTCTTTTGAGGAAATCTTTGTGATATTCTTTCCATCATTTGAATAATCCTACTTCGTGTATCGTCAATAATCATCCAAGATTCATCACTTCAAGTTGTGGTGAAATAATAAGATAAGATATTAAAGATTCATTCTAGTCGGTAATAATGAATGATATTATGAATTAAGACTTAAGATGAATTTAAAAAACACTAAATGTATGATCATCACTAAATCAGCAGCTGCAAGCATCCAATTGATTGTTGAAGATACTGTAATTGAGAGTGTGGATACCTACAAATATTATTATTATTATTATTACTTGGTCAAAATCTAACACTATGAAAACATGTAAATGTCCCCGTTCTACACCACCATTCGGGTAAAATGGAGACCTCGATAAAAACAATGTATTTTTTTTATTTTTATCTTTTTTTTATCTTATTTAACATTTTAATTACAATAGCACACCTTTTAAGTTTATGACAAATACTTTTTACACTTGTTACAGGATAAAACATAGACACAAAACAAATTTTAAATTAATTTTTTGTGAGTTACGTTACGTCTATAGAAGTGTTACGTCTAGAGAAATCGCATAGGAAATAGTCGTCTTCACGACTATGGTCGTGTAGATCGTCGTATGGTTCGTCGGTACAAATTCCACGGCTTCGCGCAATCATACTTGTAAGTTCGTGAACTAGTCGACTGGAGTTACAATTTGCCAAATTTAAATGTAATCGTTTCTACTCATTCATATTAATATTATAATTTATAATATATTAAAGTTTTTAATATTGGTAATATTATAAAGCTTTTAATATTATTTTTTAATATTAATAATAATATTAAGTAATTAAATATTGCGCCCTGCTTAAAAAAAGCACGAGATAAATAACTCGTTTTTTTTTATATGAAAGTGCAATTTTCTTGCAAATGCTTGGTTTTTTTGATAAGATAATACAAATTGTAAGAAGAGTAGCTAAGCGTTGGGTAGTCAGTGGCGAATCTACGAGGAGGGAAAAAAGATTTTCTTAAGTTGTCAATACTTTGACTGAACATACAACCAAGAGAGGATGGAATGTTGTCAGACCACTAACAATATTTTTCCTCACTTATTATATTTTTTATAGTTTTTTTGTGGACCGCCACAATGGAATTTCGCAAGTCGTTAGATAGACAATTTCTTTGAACAATTTTGACCATAAAATAAATTAAGTCACTCAAATACCGCCCTAAATAATTTATTCAACGCACATTTGATAATATAATTTCATTAAAGATATAAAAAGATAATATTGGATAAATAACTATTTATCACTGATGGGGTGATGGTTCAATTAACTTGCGCCTGAGAGTACTTGTTCTTTTTGTTTATTTTATTCTTCTTCTTCTTTAGGTACCGTCTCCTCTAAGGAGGTTGGTAATTATTACAGCTATTTTCACTTTTGAGATTGCAGCTCTGAACAAGGCGACAAAGCTGAAATTATACCACTTTCTCAGATTGTTGAACCAGGAGATGCGTCTTCTTCCAATACTTCGTTTTCCTTGTATTTTTCGTTGCATTATGGTTTTTTTTATTATTGAGTTAATTCCTCGACAACTAATATCATTGGCATGGTAAAGTCAGGTACCTAGTGTAGTGTGTGTGTGTGTGTGTGTGTGTAGAGTAATTGTCTTGATACTTAGCAGTCTGCGGTCCCTCCGGTGAGTACCGATCGCACAAGGATAGAAATTATTTTCATTCATTAATTTTTAATAAACGAAAACTTCTCCACCCAGGTGGGATTCGAACTCACGACCTTTAGGTTTAAAGGTAGGCGCTCTTACCACTGAGCCACAGAGGGGGTTAAGAATTGTGGTTTGTAGCAATACTACTTTGTATATTTTATAATTATTTAAAATTAATTAACAAATTGTCACCTACGAGTGATATTGCAATTTTATTGGATCTTACCTAAATCTCTTTGAGCATCCTCAGCTATATTTTGTGTTTCATATGCTTTTTCAGCTGCCGCTTGTTCTTCCTTTTCGACAATTTCTTTTGTTTCTTCAGCAATAACCTGAGCAGAAGTAAAAAAATATTAATCCATATTAGATAATAATGTTAAATATTAACTGTAAACTCCATAATGAACGACACTCTTATTTTCAAAAAATTCTAGGCTATACCTAAATTACACAGCTTATGCATTCTTCTTCTTTACGTGCCCTATCAAGTCCCCTTGACGTTGGCGATTAACATGGCGAAACTGTCTCTGCCTCGAGCTATTCTAAAGAGTTGCTCAGCTTTCTTTATTCCTGTCCACTCTCTGATATTCTTCAATCAAGAGGCCTGCTTTCTACCAATTCCTCCGCGTACTTCGATTTTACCCATCATAATAAGTTAAAGAATATTATATCGATCTCCCCTTACTACGTGTCCAAAATAGGCCATCTTTCTACATTTGATGTTATCAAGCAGCCCGCGAGCAGCATTTGCTCTCTCAAGGACTGCCACATTTGTCAGCATAGCCGTCCATGGAATTTTTAGTATACGTCTGTGCAGCCACATTTCAAAGGCCTCCAGACGATTAATGGTGGATATTTTTATTGTCCATGCTTCGACACCGTATAAGAGGACTGACCAAATGTAGCATTTAACCATACGCTTTCGAAGTTGAAGTTTCAAGTTATCATTACAGAAGAATGACCTCATTTTTAAAAATGTCGTGCGGGCTATATCTATTCTACATTTTATCTCTTGATCCGGATCTAGTTGTTCAGTAATATGGCAACCAAGATATTTAAAACTGGACACTCTTTGAATTATATGATCATCAACATATAATCGTGCATCTTGATGTGCTAAACGGCTAAACACCATGTGTTTTGTTTTTAAACAGTTTATGTTTAGGCCAAACTCTCTTCCATCTGTATCAATGGCATTTAAAAGGCATTGTAATCCATTCATGTCATCACTTAAAATAACTGTATCGTCTGCATATCTGATTGTATTTATCAGAATTCCATTAACTTTCACGCCCCATACCAAATTATGCAGCGCTCCCTTAAATATTCTATCTAAATATAAATTAAATAACAGTGGGGATAGTATACAACCCGTCTGACACCTCTTTGTATTTTACATATTTCTGTTGATTTTCCGTTTATGCAAGCTGTCGCTGTTTGACGCCAGTATAACTTTTCTATGAATCGTATGTCTTGACTATCAACTCCTTTATCTTTTAATATTGTAATTAATTTACGATGCTGTACTTGATCAAAGGCCTTTTTATAGTCAATAAATACAGGAAAGACGTCTTTCCTTTGATCTCAACATTTCTGCAGTAATACATTTGGTGCAAAGAGGGCGTCCCGAATTCCCAGTCCATTTCGGAATCCAAATTGTGTTTCATCCTGATCTTTACATTTATCTCTGATTCTACTGTGGATGATGCGTAGAAATATTTTCAAAGTGTGGCTCATAAGGCTTATCATTCTATAATCGCTACAGTTTTTCGGACGTTGTTTTTTTGGTAGTGTTATGAATTCGAACTTTAACCAATCTTCAGGGATGTCGAATAAACATCATTGAAAAGTTTGACCAGTATTCCAATGTTCTCCTCATTTATAAGGTTTAACATCTCTGTCGGTATGTTATCAGTGCCAACGGCTTTCTTGTTCTTTGCTAACTTTATAGCATGCAGTATTTCTGATTTTAGTATTTCTGGTCCTTCACCTTCAACTAAAGTCTTCGGTTCTTCGGGTCTATCATCATTATACAGTTCACTTATATAATTACACTAGATTGTTTGAATTTCATGTTCGTCTATTATCATTTTTCCTGACGAATCGGTTATAGTATGTGGAGTTTTCTTATGATAAAGACCAGCTACTTCTCTAACTTTTTTAAACATATTAAACGTATCATGTTTTTCATTCAACTTTTCTAATTCCTTGCGTTTATCCTCCATCCATTTTTCTTTAGCCACCTTTATTTTTTGTTTAATTAGTTTCTGTTTTTCCTTATATTCTCTGTCTTGTTACCTTTCAGTTTCCTTCTCTGCTCCATTAATTCCAGGATTTCATCAGTCATCCATTGTTGTTTTTTGTGAATGTGTAACGTTGTTGAATATTTTTCTATTACTTTCAAGGTAAGATCTTTAAATGTGTTCCATATTTCTGTGTTGTTTTCATTTATTGATTTCTTTAGCTCATTGTTTAAGTCATTTTCTATTAACGTTTTGTTGGATATTGAGATATTTAATTTTGGTGTTTTGGGGCTTTCTTGGACTTTTTTGAGCTTCACTTTGATGTCAGTTATTACAGGGTTATGGTCTGAACCGATATCTGCACCAGGATATGTCGTTACTCTGGTGACGCCATTTTTAAATCTCTTGTTTACCAGAATATAGTCTATCTGATTTCTAATCATATGTAGTGAATTATCTCCTGGTCCCCTCTATGTGTATAACCTTCTTTTGTGTAATTTGAACCATGTATTTGCGATTATTATGTCATGTTCTTGACAGAACTGGTATAATCTATCGCCTCTTTCATTGCTCTCCCCTAGTCTATATTTACCTACCAGGTCAGATCTTCGGCCTTGGCCAATTTTTGCGTTAAAATCTCCAATAATGTATGTGACTTCGTTACTTTTTAGATTTTTAAGTGTCTGTTTTAATTGGCTATAGAATGATTCGACATCATTATCATATTTCTTTTCTGTAGTAGGGGCATATATCTGGATAACATTGACATTAAATGGTTTGCTATTTAATTGGAGTATTGCTAGTCTGTCGTTCACTGGTATAAAATTTTTCACATATTTCTTAAATTTAGACGTTATAAATAAGCCAACTCCATTCCTATGATGTGTGTCATCTTCTACACTTCCAGAATAGTATAGTGTGCCTTCATCTTGTTCACATATTCCCGTTTCAGACCACCGGAGCTCACTGATGCCCATTATATCAATTTTTAAACGTTTAACCTCTCGAACTAAGTTACTGAGCTTGCCTGCTGAATAGAGGCTTTAAACGTTCCAGGTACCTAATCTGATTGTACTGCTAGATATTTTTAAAGTTGTCGTACTTCTAAAATTGTAGGGATTTTGTGTGATGACGACCGGGGAGGCCCTACAGTCTGGTGCGCGCCCTTCCCTGCCGGATCTTGGTTTCCGTGATCGATGATCAGTAATACTTCCGTTACGATTGTATTGGGCCATGTTAACTTTACTCGGGAGAAATAATTGGGGTGGTTTCCCGTTGCCTTCCCCAATGATTTTTCTGACGCAATAGGTTTACTCCTGTCGGTTGGATAATCGGGAAGGATTTTTGGGTGTTTGGTAGGAAACTTGGATCGGGACATGACCTCCCCTATTTGTATAAGTGTATCTATCCGCTACTCTAGCTTATGCATTACGTGTACAAATTTACAAAGGTAATGGATTACACCATTAATTGTGTTGGGCAAACTGTTACCTTTCTGTTATTGATATTCATACCTACTATAATAACACTCCCGACAATGAGAAACGAGTTAGTTGGATTGTTCTTTCTTCTTTCTCCGGAAGCAAGGAAACCTGATAGTAGACGAAGACCAAATATGTGAAAGTTGGAAAGAATATTTCGAAGAGATGCTAAATTACGGAGTGACTACTGAAGAAAATTATTATGTTCCTAAACCTTAAATATTAACAGAAGAAATGCCAAAGCCTACAAGAGAAGAAATTGAAGAAATAATAAAAGATATGAAAAATCACAAAAATCACGGAGAGAGGGGCATTGTGGCAGAGAACATAAAATATGGAGGAGAGGCCTTAATAAACCAATTAGGTGAGCTAATACTAGAAGTGTGGAATGCCGAAGAAATGCCTCAAGAATGAAATAAGTCAATTATAATTCCTATACACAAAAAGGGAGATAGAACTGAATGCGCAAGTTATAGAGGTACTTATAAATTACTCGTCAGTAGAGGTAATATATAAAGTACTCGTCCTACTAATTAAAAAACTATTAGAAATATATATACAGAAGAATCTAGGAAAATTCCAGAAAGGATTTCGGAAAGGAAGATCAACAACCGATCAAATTTTTAAGCCAAAACCAATCCTGATCCATTGCTATATATACAACATTTTAGCAAAAGTACTTTTTATTGATTACAAAGTCGCCTACGATACAACAGACATCAACAAAAATCATAAGATTGGTAAAAATGACAATTAGACAAACCATCTGTGCTGTGAGATGCAACGGTACAGTCTCAAAAGAATTCGAAGTGAAAAAAAGTGTTCACCAAGGAGACCCGTTGTCTATATTGCTATTCAATATAGTCCTAGAAAAAATTGTAAGGGTTAGTGAGATAAATAGATCCGGAACTATTTTATACAAGGAGCACCAATGCTTAGCATACGCTGATAATGAGGTTCTTATTGCAAGAAATGGAAAACAACTATCAAACGTAGCAAAAAGATTTATTCGGGAAAGTTCTAAAATGGGACTAAAAGTAAAAGTACAGTCCGTCCCAAACCCTTCTTTCAGTGCGTCATAGTTGTTCGAATTCTCTCTAACGCATTAAGCTAGAAGTCACAGAAAAAAACGTGAGTCGTTGATTATTATACATAGAACTTAGAAAATTAGGTATCGTTCACGGGTATTCGCATATTAAAGCGAATTCTACTTACGAACGTATAATTGGTTGGAGTTTAGAATACGCTAAATAGATATCCAATCAATTATGCATATAAATATAATTTGACACAGATGATCTTGATAATGACAGTGACAGTACTTTCACAATGTCAACTGATAAAATGATAATTGCCATTCCAGGTTAGTATTTTCAGACATTTTAACTACAGTGAAAATTAAATTTTGTATTTATTGTCATAAAAATATTTTAAATTTTCCGAGATATACCGAGAATGAAAAAACACTAATATTAAAATTATTAAATTAGTTTCAATTAGAAAAAGAGGCTGAGACATCCTTATTTCAGTTTCTGTCGTTCGCGAATCAGATTGTGAATTCCGGAATGATATTGAGGAAATATCTTAAACTAATACCTTTATGGATATTTATATGTATTAAAACGGTTCTTTTTAGAATCACATTTTCTTGAAATGTAGGATATAATTGATACCAGCCACACATCTAGTGTAATCATTGATTTTCAAGAATCAGATTCTGAATGGGATTATAGATTGTTTGAAATATAATATTCATTTTTGTTATTCATAAAAAAGAAGGTAAACTTACATTCGGTATCTTGTTTTTTAACTAAACTCCATTAACACGATTTCATCTGGATATTGGAACTGGTAGATTAACTCAAAAATCAACTGCTTCACTATTTAAACTATTTTCACTATTTAATGACAACTCTTCACAAAATTAAACTATTGGCTGCCACACAAACTTATCAGAAAATTACATCCAAATATGACTGATTTAAATCGATATTATTTTATCACAGGAATGTTTACTTTGATGCCTTGCAATTGTCAGTAAATTTTTTTACCTTGCAGTCAACTCTTAAAAGATTCTAGGAGGAAGCGTTATTTTAAATAAACCTTCCAATTCCAATAAACCTTCCAATTGCAATAATTAAGCACTTTCCATGGAATGTATAAAATAGAACAGAATAGAATAGAATTATGACAAACTGCTATGCATTAAAAAAAATAACCTTTTCACGTTTAGCCGATTACGATCCTGCAACTGTCAGATTTAATTAAAATGTCATGCAATAATTCTCGACATTCTTAAAATCCTATATGACGTCAAAATTAGTGACGCACTGAAAAAAGGGTTTGGGACAGACTGTACATGTAGATCTTAAGCAAAAAAGGAATAAACACCAGTGGATACTTTTAATTGGAAATGGAGGATGGATCAGTTGTAGAATTCGAGAAGGTGGATGAATATATGTACCTAGGTACTCTTATTGATCAGATATGTAAGGAAGAAACTGAAATCAACCTGAAACTGACCAAGAGAAACAGGTGTGCTGGAGCAATGAGCAAAATAATTAAGGCCAAAGATATATCTTGTAATACAAAAATAAGAGTATACAAAACTATATTTAGACCCACAATGCTATACGCTGCCGAACAAAACCATACGGAACACATTGGAAGCATGAGAAAGAAAAATACTTCTTAGAATGTTTGGTGGAAAAGTAGTAGAGGGAGAATGGAGAAGACGAACTAATGCAGAAGTGTACCATTTTTATGCTAATCCTACAATAACAAAAGTGGTAAAAAAACGTAGACTAGAATGGCTCGGTCATCTAGAAAGAATGCAAGGTGATAGACTAGTCAAGAATATTGCTTGGAGAGTAACTGACGGCAGAAAAAAAAGGACGGAGGACCAAGAAAGACATGAAGAGATGTAGTAATGGCAGATTTCAGAGAGATTGGAATCAGAGATTGGAAGATGATAGCTAAGAACAGAAAACGATGGAAATGATCCATCCAGCAATGGGCCTAAAAGGCCTGTTAACGCTATACATACATACATTTGCTACCAAACTGAAGTCAGACAAAGACTGAACTAAGAACGAATTTTAAAAAACATTAGGAATAGTTATTATTGTAAGCTCTTAAACCAAACCTATCTTTTAAACATAAATTATTCAATTTACAAGAACATACCGTATCCGCAGCAATTTTAGTTATCATTATATCAGCATCTCGAGCAGCTTCTTCCAGAAGTGGTTTTAACTCCGTAAGTTGACTTTGCAGTATTTTAACTTCTTCTGCAGTACTTTGAAGCTTACCTAGACCTATAAAAAAAAATTAAATTTGTGGTTTAAATATACTCTCTGGACTATGTTAAATTTGGTAAATAACAATTGCTTCTTGTAAAATTTTATTATGAAGATGAACCAGAGGAGGAAGAAGAGGACATGGGGAAAGTTATAAATCACGATAGTAAATTAAACCAGGAGGTATCAGATGTAGATGAAACAGTTGCGGTTCTGTCTGTCCTTTTTTTCTATATAGGTATATTAAAAAAGTAGAGTATGTATTAGGAGGTCATGCTAATTTTTTATTGTTTTAGGCAAGAACTGTATATCTCACTGAAAGAAGCATCCGTCAAAGCCAAAAACCATTATAACAGGACAGCATAACATTATAATTCGCTTACCAGAGCCTACAAAAAGCACTACAAATTTATAGGAGGCTGTCGGGATTTGGAATTAGTTTTTAGATGACACTATAATTGATATCATTGTGAAAAATACAAATAAGTCTGTCTCTCTTCAATCCTGACCCCTTTAGGGGGAGTGTAGTGGTCGACGTGATGTCGTGTATTGTCCGTCTCCAGAGATCTCTGTCTCTGGTCATTTCTTTTAATTCATGCATAGGTCTTTGGCATATTCCTGTAATTTGATCTATCCATCTTGTTGGGGATCTTCCTCGTGATCTTCGGCCTTCTACCTTTCCTTGTATTATAAGTCTTTCCATGTTTTCTGTGTTTGCTCTCATAACATGCCCAAAATATTTTAATTGTTGGAGATGGACTTTACTAGAGAAGTCGTTGGCTAACTTTTAGCTCTCTTAACATTGAATTATTTGTTCTACAGTCGGTCCAAGGAATTCGTAACATTCGTCTCCAACAGAACATTTCAGTGGCGTCTATCTTTCTTCTCTCTCTCTCTCTCTCTCAAGCAGTTGATCAACCTAATCTTTATCGCTCTTGAAATTTGATAGTCCTTCCATATTTTGGTCATTTTTGCTGTGGCATCTTTTGATAGATCACATCTACGTTTAATCTCTTCTTGTAATGACCCTGTGTTTGTGATTAATGATCCCAGATATAAGTATGACCTCACAACCTCGAACCGGTCAATTGTGGTTATGTGTGGATGATTGTTGTGTAGTCTATCCACTATCATAATCTTTGTCTTTGATATGTTTAATTGCAGACCAAATATTTGACTTTCGTTTTCGATCAGTCGTATAAGTTCTATCAGCTCTGCTTGACTATTTGCAAGAAGGGCTGGGCTGTGTCATCTGCGAAACGTAGGTTGTTTAGTTTATGACCATTTATTGAGATGCCCTTTTCCCATCCTTCAAGTGCTCTTCGCATAATATACTCTCCATATATGTTGAATAATTGTGGAGATAGTATACATCCTTGTCTGACACCCCGTTCTGGATGAAATTTGTTCTAAAGTGTGTCAAGTACTTTAACTGATCCAGTAATGTGTTCATATAGTTCGGTTATAAGCGTAATTAGATGTTGTGGTACGCCAACTTCTTTGAGTATTCGCCATAAGTGTCTCCACTTGACCCTGTCGAACGCTTTACGGTAATCTATAAAACAGATGTATAGTGGGATGTTGAATTCCCTAGATTTCTCGATTATCTGTCTTATATTCAGCAGGTGTTCTCGAGTGCCTCTACCTTTGGTAAATCCAGTTTGCTCTTATGGAATTTCTCTTTGAAGGAATGTTTTCAGTCTCTCATTGATTATATGTAGCATTATCTTGCTGGCATGGGATATAAGAGAGACAGTTCTATAATTGTCGCATTTATGGAAGCTGCCTTTTTTATGTATGGTCGTTATTGTAGATTTTGTCCAGTCTTCAGGCCATTGTTTGGAATGCCATATTTGGTTACAGAGTAGATGAAGTAACTTTACGCCGGTTTCTTCTGTGGCTTTAAGCATTTTTGCTGTTATCATATCTGGACCTGGTGCTTTGTTAAATTTGAGCTTGTTGATAAACTGTCTTATTTCATTTTCGAGTATATCAGGTTCTTCTTTCAGTACAAATAAATACATAGCTTCCATTCAATAAAACTATTTGCGAAAGCAAAATGCTAATCTCACTGATAAAATGGAAATCCGTGTTTTTATAGGACTCTTGTATTTATCTGGGCTAGGTCACCGTAATCGTGCTAGCGAAGAAGATGTTTGGGGAAGAGATGTTTATGATATAGAATTTTTTTATCTTATGATGATTCTGTGAAGGTTCCAATTTCTTCTTTGTTACATTAGATTTTATAATAAGGAAACAAGTTCAGAGCGATCAAAAATTGACAGGCTAGCTTCCATACGTACAAAATGGTATGTACACTTGTTTATGGAAGATATATGTGAAATAATCGTATGGTTAATACACGTATTTTACGTCTAAAATAGGCACTGTAGGAGTGGTGTACCCAGAAACACGTGCCAGGGAGTGGTAAGAGACTCAAATTAAAGCGAAACGCAACCTTCTTCGTATATTTATCGTCCCTACTCGACGCAATGAGTACAAAAATTGATGGTAATTTATATGGGTAAATTGTTGGTGCATAGTGCAATATGTTTATTCTCAGTACCGCTCTGAATGGCTTGTTTAAGCCTGGGTATACAGTTTACTTTAATTGCTATCGACGTATCTTCATCTTTCCTCACTAGAGGTCTCTAGTTGCATACTCTGGTAGTTATTTTCATGTAAATGCCAGAGTAATCGGTGCGTTTTGATTTGGTTTGAGTCTTCTTACAAACTCCTTCTGATCACGGGTAGACCCAGAAACACGTGCCAGGGAGTGGTAAGAGACTCAAATTAAATCGAAACGCAACCTTTTTCGTTTATGGAAGTAACTCGAAGTGATGCATCGGAAAATCAAGAAATGTCATTACTTGCTGGAAAGTGACTTTACTGCGAGAACTACTTGAGAACATTTTATTTTTAAAGTTTTCAAATAGGTCAATAGGAGCTAAATTATCAACAGCTCTCCTTTCTGGTCTGGTTGGACGATCATCAAAATGAATCCTCGCACAAGGACATGAAAGCGCTCCTGTCTCATAGTAGCAGCAAAACATGTAGGTGCTGTTCCATCGTTCTCCCACAATTTATGAGTGCTGAAATGCTGCCCCTTTTTTATTCCTGCCAAATATATCTTCTTCTTCTTCTTCTAATGGCGCTACAATCCTTTGTGAGTCTTGGCCTGCTTAACGATGTCCTTCCATTCTACCCTGTCGAATACTTTCTTTCGCCACTGCCTGATGTTCATGGTTTTAAGATCCCTCTCTACGTCGTCTATCCATCTTTTACCAAGTATACCCTTTAGATAAATATATAAGTCCAATAAACGCACATATTTCATGGAGATATGTTGCAGAACAATCTTTTTTCAGTTAATACGATTTCCGCATAACCGCAAGTTATTTATTTATATGTTGTACGATATTTTCTAGAGTACTATCAGGAAAAAAGTTTCCAACAGTCCAGAATAGTACAACACTTTTATGCAACTGCTTTTACACTTAGAAGTTGAATAAAAATATTTTGTGTTTTTGTTTTTGATACAGGTTTTATCATTTTATGTTTTAAGCAAACTGTTTCATCTTTGCCAATAAATTAAGGACATTTTAAGGGAACTGTAGTTATTGCTATAGATTTGTCAATTGCATCACATAATTCAAAATTGTTATCGTTTTCTGACTACTCCGTATCCGTCTTATAAATGCTACGTGCAGAAGAAGCGTCATGTTGTGAGCCAGAATATTCTGATATCGGCTCTGCTTCTTCTTCCACTACTTCTGCTGTCCTCTACTTCTTCGTACTACTTTAAAAGTTGATTCCTAGTTTAAATGTCGAAAAGATCCATTATAATTACTATTAAACTGGGAATAAGCCACAATTAAAGATAAAAATACGTTTATTGACGTTTCAATTTCCACTTCGGAAATCGTTCTCAAAATACAAACAGTAAATTAAACAAATTTTGTTTTTTGTTACATAGTGAAAAATTCTTCTAATAATTTAATTTTATCTGACTCATTTATATTGACAATTCAGACATACATTATGCATTTTAAAGTAGACGACTTTAAAATGATATTGCCAATATTGTTGAGTTGCGCTCCTGGGACGACTTTACTTATAAGATAGTTCATTCGATTACATGAAATCAACTTTAACTTGAGAATATTCGTCAGAAAAAAAATCATAGCATGTAATTCGTCTTTAAAAAGACAAATACATGACATGATGACAGTAAAATTCTCCTGTTAGCGATTCCATAGTAAATTATGAGGGAAAAACGAGGAAAAAACCTCATAATACTATCCCGACATTGTAAGTATTTGTTCGTGAATTTAGTTTACCTTCAACAAACATCAAAATTCTGATTTTATATGTTACGTTATTTAAAAAACATAAATAATGTATCCTCTATATGTTACTGACTTACTAATACTGGTATTTTCTTATTAATAACTTCCTCTTTCAATATTGGTAACCAGATCCTACCACATTCTGCCGAGGAATTTGCGACACAATTGGCCTCATTTAGCATAATTAGAGCCGCTTCTTTGATTTTTCTTTTTTTACCATCCGTTTCTTTTAGGACTACACTTGAATTATTCCATTGAACCCTATGTTCATTATCCCATGCGTCTTTACATATTTGAGATCTATCAAATTCTCTATTTTTAATATAAGACTGATGTTCACTTATTCTAACATTTAATGACCTTGATGTTTCACCTAAATAAAACTGATCGCATTCACAAGGTATTTTATAAATGCAATTCTTTGTCCTTTCTTGTTCATTGTTAGGTTTGGTTTTGGACAAAATAGATCTCAACGTGTTTGTTGTTTTGAACGTTGTTGAAATGTTGAATTTATTTCCTATCCTTTTAAGTTTTTCTGATAATCCTTTTATGTACGGTATTGTTATTTTCCTCATATTATTCCTTGTGTATGCTGTAGGATTTCGTTCTAAGTTGTTCTGTTCTATTCGATCGATTGTTGAAAATTCCTTATTTATAAACGATAAAGGATAATCATTTTTTAATAAAACAGATGTTAACAAATGTTTCTCCTCCAAGAACGAATTTTCGTTAGAATAAGTAATTTTGGCTCTATCGTATAAGGATTTAATTATTACAAGGAATATTATTATTTAATACAAGGAATAATATGAGGAATATAACAATACCGTACATAAAAGGATTATCAGAAAAACTTAAAAGGATAGGAAATAAATTCAACATTTTAACAACGTTCAAAACAACGAACACGTTGAGATCTATTTTGTCCAAAACCAAACCTAACAATGAACAAGAAAGGACAAAGAATTGCTTCTATAAAATACCTTGTGAATGCGATCAGTTTTATTTAGGTGAAACATCAAGGTCATTAAATGTTAGAATAAGTGAACATCAGTCTTATATTAAAAATAGAGAATTTGATAGATCTCAAATATGTAAAGACGCATGGGATAATGAACATAGGGTTTAATGGAATAATTCAGGTGTAGTCCTAAAAGAAACGGATGGTAAAAAAAGAAAAATCAAAGAAGCGGCTCTAATTATGCTAAATGAGGCCAATTGTGTCGCAAATTCCTCGGCAGAATGTAGTAGGATCTGGTTACCAATATTGAAAGAGGAAGTTATTAATATTAAAATACCAGTATTATTAAGTCAGTAACATATAGAGGATACATAATTTATGTTTTTTAAATAACGTAACATATAAAACCAGAATTTTGATGTTTGTTGAAGGTAAACTAAATTCACGAACAAATACTTACAATGTCGGGATAGTATTATGAGGTTTTTTTCCTGGTTTTTCCCTCATAATTTTCTATGGAATCACTAACAGGAGAATTTTACTATCATCATGTCATGTGTTTGTCTTTTTAAAGACGAATTACATGCTATGATTTTTTTCTGACGGATATTCTCAAGTTAAAGTTGATTTCATGTAATTGAATGAACTATCTTATAAGTAAAGTCGTCCCAGGAGCGCAACTCAACAATATTGGCAATATCATTTTAAAGTCGTCTACTTTAAAATGCATAATGTATGTCTGAATTGTCAATATAAATGAGTCAGATAAAATTAAATTATTAGAAGAATTTTTCACTATGTAACAAAAAAACAAAATTTGTTTAATTTACTGTTTGTATTTTGAGAACGATTTACAAAGTGGAAATTGAAGCGTCAATAAATGTATTTTTATCTTTAATTGTGGCTTATTCCCAGTTTATTAGTAATTAATTTACAATGCCACAAGAAAATAGCTTCAGAACAATATTAAGATAGATTCTGGAAAAAAGAGTAAATTTTTTATACTGCAAGCATAGATTATGTTGAAAACAAATAACATATCCATAAAACAATAAATAAGTAAAAAGTTTGTTAAATAATAATAAGAATTGTTAATATTAGGTATTCTTAAAAAGGCTACTTAAAATCTACCTATTCTTACCTAATCTTACCTTCAATCAGATTTTTGTGACCAATCGTTTACTTAACAAATTTTACGTACGCAAAGAGTCCCGTGTAGAGATTTTTTCTCACCGTCCGTCACCTAGACGATTAGATATTGATAGGTATTAAACAATAACGGTCGTCTTTCCACCACTCAAAATATTATAAGCCTAATCCCAGAGACGTACCTGAGGCATTGCTGAAGGCCCAAGACATTAAAAAAATTATTATCAAAATTATAGCGAGAAATAGTAAAAAAAAAAGAGATTTTTCTACCCACGGAACCGATCCCGAGTTAATAAAGTTTAAACTATTTTTTTTTTATAAAAAAAGTCTAAGGTTAACAACTATCCTAATTTTATTTAAATATCTCTTAAATATAAACTATTCGTTGGACCAACCTGTTTTTAGCCTGCCGACACCTTCCGTGAGAGATCCCTTTTTTTTATTCATCAATTCAGTGTAGCTGGACAAAAGTTCTAGATATGATGTAGGAGTGACGTAGTTGTAGCGTGAAAGCTCTTGTTTAAATCTTTCGCTAGCTTCAACTACGCTGGCATGCATATATTGGAACGTCATAACAATTCCCTGCAGAATGCTCTCTGACACGTCAAAATCTTCCACTTCCTTTAAGAAACGGAGTGCGACAGACTGAAACAAACAAATATCCTTTATGTCCGTATATAATATATAAATCGAATATTACTCTACCGTATGTTTATTTTTCATTATAGGAATGATATATTGTAGGTCGATGTCGGTCTAACATTTGTTTAACCGAACAGATTAGGTAAATAGAAGTATAAAAACATTTGTTGGAAAGTAGAAAATGTTAGATACATTTGATAATAAAAATAAAACAATTCTAAAAATATAAAATAAAAAATGTTACTATACTTTGCTAATTTATTATCTTACACAATTGAAGTGTTTATTTGAAAAACAACTCAACAATACAAAAATTTAAATTTTGGTAAATCAAGAAAAACTGCCCAGCTTCAATCTATTTCAAATCTTACTTTTACAAGATATTCATTGGAAGGAATGCGACTATCAAAATAATTGTAAGTAGATTTCATATTTTTATTAATATTTTAAACAAAAATCTGTAAAAGATTATTATTTTATTATTATTATTATTATTATACATAAGCGAGGGCACAGAAACTAAGTCCCTATTCTGCCCAAAAACAAAGAAATTTCATTAATAACCTACTAGTAAATAACAAAATTACAAATAAAAGAAATAAAATTACAATTTTTTGTTAAAAAAAAAATAATATTTTAAATAATTAATGGATTCGATCGTTACTTGATGGAAATTCATTTTATGTAACAATAAAACACTGAAAACTTTGTTTTCAAACTTTCACAAAATTTATTTTAAATCTTATCACTACAGCTGTTTCGGCTGATTGCCTTTCTCAAGTGATCTATTTTTGGCTTGGGTTTACAAATTTATAGTCTCTAATGAAATAGGTTGAGGAGGGGAAAACTGTTTGTCTCAAGTTGGTCATTCAGAATTATATCTGTGTTTTTTAATTTGTTGATTTCCATAGATTCTAACAAAGATAGCTTAAGGCCTTTATTTTGAATATGAAGAATTTTAAATTTGTCATTAAAAGAATGATTATGATCCAGAAAATGAAGTGCGTATGTCGAATCTGTTTTTCTATGCTTGAAAGCCCTTTTATGTTCTGCTATTCGTTTATGAAAGTTTCTACCAGTTTGACCGATGTAAGTTTTTGGACAGTCGCCACATTGAAGTTTGTACACACCACGATTACGGTGTTTTTTATTTTGGCTCTTGTTATTTTTACTATATTTGCCTAGGGTGTTATTTGTTCGAAAAGCTGGTGTTATTCCTTTCTTTTTTATGTGTTTGGCGATTTTTGTTGTTATTTTGCCTGTATATGTAATCGAGCAGAAGGTAAAAGAAAAAAACCCAGTACTTTCTGCTCGATTGCATATACAAGCAAAATAACAACAAAAATCGCCACACACATAAAAAAGAAAGGAATAACACCAGCTTTCCGAACAAATAACACCCTAGGCAAATATATTAAAAATAACAAGAGCCAAAATAAAAAACACTTAAATAGTGGTGTGTATAAACTTCAATGTGGTGACTGCCCAAAAGCTTACATCGGTCAAACTGGTAGAAACTTTGATAAACGAATAGCAGAACATAAAAGGGCTTTCAAGAATAGAAAAACAGATTCGACATACGCACTTCACCTTCTAGATCATAATCATTCTTTTAATGACAAATTTAAAATTCTTCACATTCAAAGTAAAGGCCTTAAGCTATCTTTTTTAGAATCTATGGAAATCAACAAATTAAAAAACACAGATATAATTCTGAATGACCAACTTGAGACAAACAGTTCTCTCCTCCTCAACCTATTTCATTAGAGACTACAAATTTGTAAACCAAAGCCAAAAGTAGATCACTTGAGAAAGGCAATCAGCCGAAACAGCTGTAGTGATAAAATTTAAAATAAATTTTGTGGAAGTTTGAAAACAAAGTTTTGAGTGTTTTATTGTTACAATAATATTTTAACTTTAATATAAAACGGTCAAGTTTGTTTTTGAACGAGTTGATAGGGGGAGCAGAGACAATGTTATTGTTAAGGATATTCCAGCACTTAAAAACTTTATTTGGAAGAAAGTTCTGTCTTGTTCTTGTAGAAAAATTTTCTTTCTTTAGTTTATACTGATGACCTCTGAGGCGTTCATCCTGATTTATGATAAACATTTCATCGAGGTTTCCAAAATTGAATTTTAGTATTTAAAATGTTGTAATTAAGTCTCCACGTTGTCGGCGAAGTTCAAAAGAAGTTAGGTTAGCGATACTAAGTATTTCTGCATAAGAAGGTCTTCTCGGTCCCAAAGAAATTCGAGTGGCTTTTGTTTGAACGTTTTGCAACAAAGTCTTGTCTCGAACCAGATCAGAATACTACGTTGATCCAGCATATTCAAGTATGGGTCTTACGTACAGAGTGTAAAGTTTCCACAATGATTGCATTGAAAGTCTCGAAAAATACCTCCGAATAAGATACAGTCTGGAGTTTGCACGTTTACAAATAGAGGTAATATGGTTGGACCAAGTTAGGCTGCTGTTTACGATAACACCAAGATCGTTATACAAAGACACAGATTCTAATGGCTGCCTAAGCACTACACATTTTTCTGCGTTTAAGGGTAGTAACCACTGGGAACACCAAGTTAAAATATAGTCCAAGTCCATTTGGAGAGTTAGCTGGTTTGTGACTGGATTGTCATATATTTTTGTGTCGTCAGCATAAAACGATATTTTACTTGAGATATAATAAGGAACATCGCTGGTGTAAACCGTAAAAGCAGAGGTCCAAGGACAGAACCCTGAGGCACTCCACTTTCCACTAACCTGTCCTGTGAGAAAGATTCACCAACTCTAACTTCATAATATCAATCTGTCAGGAAATCATCTATCCAACGAAGTAAAGTACCGCGAACTCCGAACTGTTCTAGCTTAAGTAGAAGTCTGCGCTTAGGTACACGGTCAAAGGCTTTAGAGAAATCTAGATAAACAACGTCAACCAGCTTAGAACTGGTTGAACAGTTACCAGCTGTAGTCCGTTTAAAGAGGTTTACACTCCGGACACTGGAACTCACTTCAACCATGGGTGTATGTTACCTGAAGTCAAATTTAATTTAATACTTAACATCACAGTTTTATAACAACAATATGTACAATCTTTTACAACTACATGTAGTTTAAAGGGTTTTTACCCTGGTATTTTGGTGGCTCAGGCATTTTAACCAAGCAATTTTAAACCTGATGATGGACTGTTTAGTCCGAAAACGTTTGTTTGTTTGATGTAGCCCTTTTAAGAGTTTTTAAATAAATATACCATTTACGAAGATTAACCTCTTTTTTTGAATTTTGTCATCTCCTCGGAAATAATGGCTTCCATAACTTTGGCAACTACTGGCAGCAAGCTAATCGGACGATAATTGTTGGGGTCGAGTTTGTTGCTTTTTTTAAAAATAGAGGTAACGGAAGCTAATTTCCAACTAGGAAGTAAGGAGTTCTGGATGAAAGAAGTTTGCATAATTAACGTTAAGACTATTGCAAGGGTGTCTGTGCACCTGTTTAACAGTTTTGGTGTTAAACCATCTAAACCAGGTGAAGCGGCTGTGCGAAGTTTAATTAAGTGTTGTTTGACATGATCCACTGTGAATTCAACTTGCTATAAGGATGCGCCGACAAGATTATAGTTAATAGCAGGTAGAACCATCATTCGATTCTTTAGAAAAAACCTGTGAAAATTAAGAGAGTTTCGGAAGATTCTTTATCAGAAGAGCATAAAGTCTGGTTGAGTTTTTGAAGTAGAAGAATGGAAACTTTAGATATAGATGTCAATATATATTGGAAAATAAACATATATAATATCCTCGTATAAATAACAAAAAATTCTGTGATGTCTATTCGCCAACAGTTACTATAATCATCGCTAAATGGTTCTTAGACTGGAGTATGATCCTTGAATTCTCCGAATTCTGGTTCCAGCTGAAGATAAAATTCTTTATTAAGAGAATCCTTGAGATATTGAGTTAACTCCATTAGATCGCAAAATTTTGGTTGACTTATTTTATTTTTCGCTTTATTTGGTACCAGAGTTATTCGTTTTTGTGTTATTTTTTCAGTAATGGTGTGAAACGTCTATGTATAACTTTGACGTATTAAAACTTGTCCAGGATACTTCTCAGATATTCAGTACATTCTTGCTGGTTTTAATAAAATATTTGGTTTTTCTTATCATATCATTCTTCTGAAACATCAACAACTCCTTTTTTTGCACGAGAAATGAGACTGAGACTAAATAATTGGCATATAATTTATCAGAAAAATACCGAACTACCCGAATGACAATAAACGTTCCACAAAAAATTCAAATAAATTTACGTGCACCAGCTGGAAAAAGTGGAAATGCAAACGAAAGTCCAAAAGGTGGAAGGTGTAAAGACTGCGGATGGGAAAAAGACAGAAAATCTCGTACAAGATGTCAAGCATATAAGAGGTTTATTAGTGCTGATCATTCAAATATCTTTTGCATTGCAAAAGTTGCATTGAATAAATATATAATTTTAATTGAATATCAAGTTTTATTATATTTTTTATTATAAATAAAACTGTTTTTAGTTTTGTTACATTGATAACATGAAACTACAAAAGCTTCTACGAATTAATAAAAAAAATAGGAATTTAATTCACAACAGGTATGAGTTTTATTCACTGGGCCCACCCATACCCATAGACAAAGAATGTAACATTTACTTTGGGAGAGTAAGAAGAATAAATTGTCCATGATTTTATTTGTAAATCTTTAAGTTAAAATCTTTAATAATCATGTTTGTGTTCTCATATTTCGGAGAATATTAGTGTTAGTAGCAATCTGAATCTCATTATCTATTTTCTTTTTATATTAAAAAATAAAATCGGTTCACAATTTGTCGACAGCTTACTACAAGTTTAACCCTAATTAGAGAACTGAGATACAGGGAGGATAGGTAATACGATATAATAGTAAAAACCAACCTGAAAGTGACGGTTTAAGATGTTTTCGACTAACCCACCTTGTATCTGAAGGAATACAATACAGCAG